TCAAAGTTCAGATGTTTGCTGATGACATTAAAGTGTATTTCTACTCGGAAGACCAACAGAGAGAGTGTTTTGCAGCTCTTTCTTCATCAATCCAAGAAGTGGTATCTTGGTCAAAAGAATGGAACATTCCCGTCAACGCCTCCAAGACTGCTGCTATGCATCTCGGCATGTGTGCCTCCTAAACTACGATGTTGTCAGTCTTTGAAGCTCTTGCGTTATAAGAGACCTCGGAGTATTAATTGACACTTCTCTCCGTTTTTCCTCGCATCTTGAATCAGTGGTAAAAAAATCAAGTTCGGTACTTTTTACAAATTTTAGAAGTATACATAGCAAAGATCCTGAAATTTTTCTTGAAATCATACAAGAGCTGCGTATTGCCTCATCTAGAATATACATCTCCTGTGTGGAGCCCTTTCCTCAAAAAAGCGTTGAAAAAATAGAGAAAGTACAAGAAATCTTCACTAAAAAATTTTTTTACAGATGCTTTCCAGGTTCAGGATATCCGCAATCTTTACCCTCGTATCACATTCGTCTCGAAAGGGTGAATCTTCAAAGTTTGAAATACAGACGGATCGTAAGCGACCTAGTGCTTTGTTTTCGAATCCTGCGATTATAAACAAAACTTAGAGCTAGCAAATACGGTTTTCAAACCTTGCAGTCAGAGAACAGGTGGGTTTTATCTTCACTATCGTAAACTTGGCAATAGAAGGCTTTTAAAAACTTTAAACTTTTTTTATCTATCGTACAGCTAGATGGATATCGCTGCTCCCGAGGGAGTTGGTTCAGGGACAAAATTCTTATGTTTTTCGGAAAAAACTGGAAAGAGATGTTCTTGAGATTCTGAAAATTCCAAATTTTTAGGTTGCTATTGCGTTTTTGCGCCGGTCGTCTACGTGTACATGGTTTTAACTGGTACTTGTGCTGGTGCTTCCTGTATCCCAAGATGCAATTTCAGTGCAGTGAGCTTAGCGAACCGCAATGACTTATCAATGATAGTTTTGAAAGTGAATGTGGGAGCAAAAACTACAAGAGAATGTCCATTAAAGGAGCTTCTATTTTTCTGAACAAGTCAGATTGTGTGTTTTTACTAACTGATAGGCTTTCGTCTTTTGAATTTTACTAATCCTGCTTCTGTTTGGACTGTTCTCGCTTTTCTGTTTATTTTCAAAGGCGCACCTAGAGTGCATCAAATAGAAATAAAATGAATAATAAAAATCAGCACTTACCCTTCAAAACCTCTGAAGTAGCGTTACTGACATCTCCACACACCAGATTTATGTGCAATTCACATAATTTTTCGCAATATCGTTCAGAATTAGTTCTCGGCGGTTACTCCCTATACCGACCTGCTTCTTTCACAGAACTTCATAACAAGATGTGCTTATTGTTAGTAAAATCTTTGAAGTCTCTCTAAGCACTTCCAAACGCAACATTTACGAACACGTTGATTCGAAATATTTATGCTGCTTTATTCATCGTTATTCCTAAAGAGAGGCGTTGGAATAAAGTTGTTATCCTAAAAAGACCGTTGGGATAGCACTTTTGAAACATCGGAAATGTCAAGCTCAGTCAACTTAGGAAGCTTTGTTCCTCAAAATCGCAGGAAATGCCAAGGCGCAAATGCTTCCATAACGGGTAAACGCGGTGAATGCCTTCGAAGTGAATGCCTTCGCAATGAGTGACGGCAAGGTGGCCTGAAGTAAGATTAGCAGCTATCTGAAGGATAGGTGACACCATATG